GATTTGCAGTTAAAATCTTTTATTTTTTCCATGGAAATTATGTGCTTTTGGCCAGGTGTTCGCTAGGTGGCTACATGACGGGTTGTTATTCACTATGACAAATACCCTGTTCAGAGCCATTTTAAATTTATTAGCACGACGAATTTCTTTATTTTTACTTCTTTATTTCAAGTAGCCTTGCCTGGGATGCGTGGCATTTATGGAAAAGTTGGTCCAAACGAGAAAATACTTCATATTTTCATTTGTTTATACAGTAGATTTCAAGAATGTTGATGAAGCTGTATTGAAAGATAAAATCGATCAAATGTTTGGACCGAATGCTTCTAGGTACTTTGAATTTCGTCCAAAACCATCGACAACACCAAAGCTTCAACTGCTATCAAAGATTGCAGTAGAAAGAAACAGTCGGTCAGTTTCAAGAGGCACATTAACGATGTTCTGTTACCAGAACGGGAAACATTACGCGTTGACCTGTTGTCACGTCTGTTACAATGGACATGGTGATGACAAGTTTTACGAAATGCTCAATCAAAACAAAAATGACTCAAACGAATTTAAATTACATTTGAATACAAATAAATACCACTACACATCACCTTCAGAACCTAAAATTTACTTAGGCCATTTCAGTGACTATAATTTACAAACTGATATAAACATTTTGTCAATAGAGGTTAATGATGATTTTAAAGAAAATTGCTGACGAAATAGAATATACAGACCTTCTTGGAATGATGCATGGATGGAGCTGAATAAACGAGTTCATGTTGAGCACGAGACAGTTGAAGTAAAAAAGTATAAGAAGTAAAAGATTGGGAAAATTTATGATGTTTCTATTCCTGTAATGAGCCTGAAAAGAAGGTCGTGTATCAGGATGCCATTCTGGTGAAAAGCAAAGATAAATTCCTTAAAAGTGGTGAGTCTGGCGTGCTAGTATATTTTCGGGATGAGCATGGAAGAAGAATTCCCTTTGTTATGGTATTGCTCGGGTTTATCACGAGGAACTCTGCGAGCCAAGGTATAAGTATTTTATATGCTTCAAACTGAGTAAGGCTTTAAAAAAGTTATTTGGTGAAGAAAACTGTGAGAGCTGTGGCTGTTTTCATGATTGTGCAAATGCCATGCAATGATGGCGCTTGATTGGAAAGCATCTTGTCATCTTACTTATATTCTGTTGAAGTATGTTACACACCACGCCCGTATTGACAATTTCAAAACATCTTCAATTTATATAGGAGAGTTTTATATTTAGCTTTACACTTATTATAATAGATTAATCACTGAAATATAGTTGTTTTGTTGTATTGTGTACAAGGTTACAAGAGCATCAAAACTGGAAAGTTATATGCCCTTTTAGCAGAAAAAGAATGAAACAATTCTTGAGAGCTGTATTTTTGAAGTTAACTCACTCGCTGTTCAAATATTTTTATACAATATACAACAATATATCATGCAGTTGTATGAATTTGTAGAAGGAAAGATCTTAAGGAAATTAATTAAAGTTAAAATTTATATTTCATTATTTTTTTATTTATGCCAGTCAAATGCCTGAAAATGCAGAGGGTTGCGTCTTAAGGAAGAACATCCGGCGTAAAAACCATTGCCAAAATGAAATATGTAAATCAGTTCTTTGTCTTCCATACCAGATCAGTCGCATATCCTGCTGGAAATGGAATTGAATTACTGTAGGTCTGCAAAGAGGAGAAAACGTATCTTCACAAAGAAAGAGTTGACGAATGACAGAGTTAAGCACTGCATGAACTTAGAACTTTAAATGTTGGGACAATGTAAGTAAAAGCTAGACAGTTGGTGGACATAATGTGATGGGAAGAAGTAAATATCTTGAAGGGAAAGGTAACAAGGCTAGAGGATGAGAGCAGGATTTATAACGAGTGGACAAAAAAGCCGCATCAAGTAATTTTTATGAGGGGAACTAAGTTTTTGTCCACTTGTAAGTTGTTTCCTTTAGAAAAAGAGAAAGATTTATCTTGATGGAGGAGTTTGTCAAGAGTAGTCAATCACTAATCTTTTTTTTTGTCGATCGTTTCTAGTTACGACCACTTGTGCTCTCCACGGTGATTCACTCGGTTCAATTATACCTTCATCTAGAAGCCTTTGTACTTCAGTTGTAATAAATTCTTTGTCTTCTCGGCTATATTTCCTTGATTTAATAGCTATCGGTTTACAACCCTCTGTTAAATGTTGGAACAAAAGTGGGGGGTCTAGGTTCAAAGCTGTTAAACTGCAAAGTTTCAAAGGAGGGGCAGAACCCCCGTACTGGATAGTGACACTTTCGTGCTGGGCTTGCCAAGTTTGCCCTAGAATAACATGAGTACACAGATTGGGCAGAATATATAGCTTAACCTGAGAATACAACCGGCCTTTTAACGTGATATCACTAAGACAATATCCTTGCATTTTTGTGGAATAATTACTTGTAGCCATCGTAACTTTTTCTTTGGTCTGATGAACTGTCAATGAAAGTTGCTCAACCAAATCAGGATGTATGAAGCAATGAGTACTTCCTGAATCTACCAGAGCTGTAACAGTTCTTTCTTTTAAACGAATGTCAATACATGAACTTAGCAATGACTCCCCCATTGCAGCTAGAGTTATGTGAGCTGATTGCGTTAAATTAGAGACTACTGCTGAAGAACGGCAAACTCTTTGGTAGTGCCCTCTTTTTTTACATTTATTACAAATAGCTTCTTTCGCAAGGCATAATGACCGGGGGTGTTGCTTATTACCACAAAAGAAGCACTTAGCGGAACGTGAAGTGGAGGCTAAATACCTCTCGCTTAGTCCTTCTTCATTATTTTCGTCATGTCCGTTAGATGCCGTAACAGCAGCGCTTGTGAAGGGATTCGAATTGTATGTCTCCGACGATTTTTGTGCCAAATCCCAAGCTCGAGCTTGATCAACTGCCGTATGTAAATCCAACTGTTTATTCTCCAGTAAACGTTGTCGAATGCTTCCCGACAATAGACCACTAATGAAAGCATCCCGAATTGCTTCATCCCGATATTGAGCAGCAGAGACTTGACGAAAATTGCAGTCTTTACTTAGGTGTTTCAGTTCTTGTAGGTATTCGTCAAGGGTTTCGCCTGCTTGTTGTTTCCGTGTTGCTAATTTATGCCGAGCAAAAATCTCGTTCGGAGGCTTGACATATAAGGATTTCAGCGTAGTGATGGCTTCATCGTAGGTTTCAGTATCACAGAACAGTTGATAAACATCAGAGGTGACATAATTCTCCAGAATGTGTAGTTTATTTATTCGGGTATCAGGAATGGACGGTATTGCATCGATGAAGTTCTCAAATGTCGCGAGCCAGTGCGTCCAGCGTTTTGCAGCGCCTTGCGCGTTCGGAATAACATCAAACCGTTCAGGTCTCAAAACTTTATCCATAGGTATAAGGAGTAGTGTTGAGTAAATTGTAGTAAGAGTTTGAATTCGAGTATACACAAAGAACAACCTTTCAAAATAAGGCTTTACTCAACACTAAATAAAAAAACTACATAATGTCTCTTTATAAATAATTATCTCAAACTAGGCGCGGTTACTAAGGTGGGTGTAATAATCATGTAATGATTACTTCATGTAATAATCACTACAAGTGGTGAGTCTGGCGTGCTAGTATATTTTCGGGATGAGCATGGAAGAAGAATTCCCTTTGGTTATGGTATTGCTCGGTTTATCACGAGGAACTCTGCGAGCCAAGGTATAAGTATTTTATATGCTTCAAACTGAGTAAGGCTTTAAAAAAGTTATTTGGTGAAGAAAACTGTGAGAGCTGTGGCTGTTTTCATGATTGTGCAAATGCCATGCAATGATGGCGCTTGATTGGAAAGCATCTTGTCATCTTACTTATATTTTGTTGAAGTATATTACACACCACGCCCGTATTGACAATTTCAAAACATCTCCAATTTATATAGGAGAGTTTTATATTTAGCCTTACACTTATTATAATAGATTCATCACTGAAATATAAAATTGTTTTTTTGTATTCTGTCCAAGGTTACAAGAGCATCAAAACTGGAAAGTTATATGCCCTTTTAGCAGTAAAAAAGAATGAAACAATTCTTGAGAGCTGTATTTTTTTGAAGTTAACTCACTCGCTGTTCAAATATTTTTATACAATATACAACAATATATCATGCAGTTGTATGAATTTGTAGAAGGAAAGATCTTAAGGAAATTAATTAAAGTTAAAATTTATATTTCATTATTTTTTTATTTATGCCAGTCAAATGCCTGAAAATGCAGAGGGTTGCGTCTTAAGGAAGAACATCCGGCGTAAAAACCATTGCCAAAATGAAATATGTAAATCAGTTCTTTGTCTTCCATACCAGATCAGTCGCATATCCTGCTGGAAATGGAATTGAATTACTGTAGGTCTGCAAAGAGGAGAAAACGTATCTTCACAAAGAAAGAGTTGACGAATGACAGAGTTAAGCACTGCATGAACTTAGAACTTTAAATGTTGGGACAATGTAAGTAAAAGCTAGACAGTTGGTGGACATAATGTAATGGGAAGAAGTAAATATCTTGAAGGGGAAAGGTAACAAAGCTAGAGGATGAGAGCAGGATTTATAACGAGTGGACAAAAAAGCCGCATCAAGTAATTTTTATGAGGGGAACTAAGTTTTTGTCCACTTGTAAGTTGTTTCATTTAGAAAAAGAGAAAGATTTATCTTGATGGAGGAGTTTGTCAAGAATGTTATAGAGAATAGAAATTGAGTAATGTGCGTGAAGTTAAAAATTAAAGGTTTGATGTTTAATGCAATAGTTGGTTCCAATTAAGCTCTAAATGTAGAATGCAAACTAGAGGAAGGTATTTTTTTAGTGCCAAAGATGAAATGGTACAGAAAATTTCATAAGTGTGAGGATAGTTATTGGTTCTGACTTCAAAGGACATGTTGATGCAGGCAACCGAGGTGATGAGGAAATAATGATCAGTTTTAGCGTTCACAATAAGAACATAGAAAGACAGTTGGTGGGGAAGTTTGCAACAGAATAGAAATGGCTGTATTAAATAGATTTGCCATAAAGGAGACGAACATGACGTGAATGTAGTGGCAGATGAGCCATGGGCGTGTAGCCTGACAGCACAAAATGGTAGTGTGCGCGATAGCTATAGCTGAGAGAATGATAAATTGGACAAAGATAGTAAGAAGAAGAAAGTAATAGAGAGTGTTGTGTAGTTTATGTGGAGAGGTTGAAACAGGCTCTAAGTGATCAGGATGTGCTTCCAGAGGACTGGCTATTCAAGCAAATGTGATCTGGAGTACGGGTGGAAAAATATTTGTATGTTGTGAGGAAGTAAAGTACATCAGGACATTTGGTGGAGGAATGAAGAAGTGCAGGAGTGTGTCATAAGAAAAAGAATGGAAGAAGATGTGGAATATAACGAAATAACTAAAGATAGTAAAATGGAGCACAAGTACAATATCATAATGTTAAATTCGTAGTGGCAAAAACAAAACAAAAGGTATATGATGACTTGTATTATTAAAATTGCAGAGAAGGAAAGAATGATTCATATAGATTTGGTTTGGTTTGGGAGAGTATGAAAAAGCAAAAGATTTTATGAACGAGCGATGAAAATTCAAACAAAGCATTTGGACCTAACCATGTTAATCTTGTGACAAGGTACAACAATCTGGGTTCGGTTTACGATAATATGGGAGAGTACGAAAAAGTAAAACATTTTTATGAACGAGCAATGAAAATTCAAACAAAAGCATTTGGACATAACCATGTCAATATTTGCGAGAACGTACTACAAGCTGGCTTTGTTTTACAGTAAAATGGGAGAGTACGAAAAAGCAAAAGATTTTATGAATGAACGATCGAAATTCAAACAAAACCTGACAATATTAATACTGCAATAATAAACAAACTATTCACTACCTTATAAATGAACAGCTAAAAACCTAAAATACATCTGTGAGGCTGTTTTTTAGAAAATGTACTAAGAGATAGAAGAAGAAAAAATGAATTTGTAGCTCCTTTTTAATGAAGTAGGAACAGTTGTCGTAACTGCGTAAAAGCACTATTGATAATGCGCATTTAATAAAACGACAAGTTTTTTAAAATGAACATGTTTCAAAATCTCATGATGCCATCTTCAGTATAATAAAGGGTATTCTGTATGTGATAAATATATATAAGAGTAATATGATACAGTGATACAACTTATACAATTACGAGTAAATTATTATATATACATATTTCAATAAAATAGTGGTTTGAGTTAATGATAAGTGTATTTACAGGCTGAATATAGTGTTAAAACGAAAACTTGAACGTTGAGATTAGGGTTAGTTTTGTTAATGTGAAGTGCCTCTACTATAATTTGTACTTTACAATGCTTTGCAACCGATTCTCTTAGCTGCATAAACGATTTTTATGGGCGTCGAAAAGGAAAAATTACTAATGCCATACATTTGAATGAAACGCTCGTAAATTATATAAACGCTTCTGATAAGCAATTGAAAGAAGCCCGCATAAATCGAGCTTACTCAAAAGCAAATCGAAGTTACTACGCAAAAACAAATCCACACGTCTGACTTTTAAGTTTAACCGGGGGTAGGTAAGAAAAATCACTATCAAAATGGTCGGCGTTAGATGGCTTCCGAGACTTGAAAATTTTGACGATATTTTAAGTTTCTTTTACGCATGGGATTATGAGGCGGATGAAGCACACAAAGATTTATCAGTTTGATAAGTAGTTTGATAGAAGCCATTCGAACCCTTAGAATACAATTTGGTTTTTTATATTGTATCCATGTAGACTTCCATTGCTGTATACCTGTGAGATTTACAGCGCATTACAAGCCAATCAGATCTAAGTTTTCTGCATGAATATGCTGGTCTCCGCAGAACTACGTAGTTCCTCGATGCTTAAATTAGAAATTACTGTTGACAGTGAGACCAAGTTGACACCGCCGCCATTTTGGACTTCTGGCCAAGGCATCATGCAATGTCGATCTGGCAGAGATCAACATCTTCATGCAGAAACCTTAGCTCTGATTGGCTTGCAATGCGCTGTAAATTAGGTCGTCCAGTCTCACCGGTATGTACCAATGGAAGTCTACGTGGATACAATATATCACGATTTATTTGCTTTTTCACCTGCACCGTGCGTACAGTTAAAAGACCAAATTGTATCATAATGGTTCGAACGGCTTCCAACAAAGTCTTCATCAAACCGATAAGTCTTTGTCTAGTTTCATCTGCCCAATAAACCGGTGAGTAAAACAGCCTCAAAATATGGTCGAAATTTTCCAGTCTCGTCAACCAGAACTGTGCACTTTCACCATCACAATGAATGAAAACCAGAACTGCTCGGCATAAATAATTTTCCAAAGAAGCCAAAAAATTTTAACATTTGGAAGCCATCTAACGCCGGCCATCTTGACAGTGATTTTTCTTGCCTCCCTCCCCAGGGTTAAATTTAAAATTAGGTTGTCAGGATATAAATAACCATAATTGATAGATCTATTTGTTTTTGTGTGGTGACTTCGATTTGCTTTTGAGTAAGTTGGATTTATGCAGGCTTGTTTCAATTGCTTCTTAGAAGCGTTTTATATAATTTACGACCGTTCGATTTAAATGTACGACATTGGCAATTTTGTCCTTTTTGTACGCCCATAGATTTTACTGCAAAGTCACCATACACATTGATGCCAAGAAAATCAAATATAAAGTAAAAATAAGATTACTACATTTAAATGAATATTCCTCCTGATGTAAAAGAAAAAAGAACATTGTCACAACAATTTAAGCTTAAATCCCAAACCATAAATAAAAAGAAATATTGAATCAAGTAACCAAAATTGACCATCTCTTCACACACAATTCTTTTAAATACAAATTATGTTTTATAATTTACCACGCGGTGAAAAGAAATTAGTGTATTTATACCACTAAACAAGATGAAGCATTGATAAACAAGATGAAGCATTGTCAATACAGCGTGTTCTGTTAAGCACGGCGTGTTTTGTTAAATTTTGGAAGATGTTGTTCCAAATGCCTTAGATTCGGTTGAAGAACTTGAGGAACTATCCTCTTGTCTTGATAAAGAAAAGTCCAGAAAAAAGTTTGTAAATTTTGAAAGTTAACCAACCACACGTATTTAGTAATATTTATTGGCACCGCCTATTTTTTATGCATGATTTTTCAAGTGTTACGTTAAAAAGTATGACCAAGGAAGGCATAGCCCTCCTCCTTTATCGGATTTTATGATTTAGCTTTTGTTATTTAGAAACGATAGCTTTATTTACAAATAAGTAACATAGTACTTGTTTTTTTAATTACCGTTTGTGTTTCAGGCTTGAAAACATGCACGTTTGTTAAAGTCTGAAACGCAACTTTTAGGATGATTATACTTGATTATATAT